TACATATGTACAGTTAAGGAATTTTTATTTCTTAAAAGGTAGGAAGATAGGGTTTTTACTAAGGTCTTTGAACCTGATTTAAATAAGATATTTTATTTGCTATTATGCTGTTACATGTGTTAAGTAATTCCTGTTTACTCAGTGGTAGCATTTCACTATTTTTAGGATACTATGTGAATATTTTTCAGTCTCCCAGTTTTGCCAAAAATAAAAATATTTAAATAAGGGAAAAAATAGAGGATGTAATTAAATAAGGTAAAATGTATTTATGTGGACAAATACTTGGTTTAAATATGATGCTAAACTGGTTTTACAGTAAATGAATGTTTTAAATTCTACTTCAATAATGATTATAAAAATATTTTTCAACCAGTTTTTCATTTACTTTGTTGTTGTCATTGCCAGGGTGAACAACTGCGTTGGATTCTCCAATTACAAATTTTTTCTTCTTTTCTTGGCTTATTCTCTACTGTATTGCCTTTTTATTGCTGCAACAGATTTACAATATTTTATCAAATTCTGGACAGTAAGTACTTTAATACATATTTGGATAGTGAAAAGGTGGTTATAGAATTCTGCAGATCTCCATAAGTTATGTATTTAACATTAGGCAATTCATTTGTTTAGGTTTTGTTTTGAAGTCTGTGTCACTCAGTCTGGTTTATTTTGAAGTCTGGTTCCCATAAAGCAGAACCTTCCTTCAATTTTTCTGAAAAACATTCTGAATATATGGAAGGTAGAAGCTGTGTACCTTTTAATTTTTGTCTTCAACTTTGCAAGATGGTGACCGTTACATGGTTCAATGTGTAAAATCAGAAAAGAAAATACGGGAAGTATTTTGACTCTGGCAGCATTAACATTAACTGACCTCAGCTGCTTCCTCTTATTTTGTGCCAATGTATGAGCAGAAATTTATTATGAGCACAAAAGCCAGAGGTTGTTGGAGACCTGCTACTGTTAAGTTCTGTTGCCATAGAATAGTAGCATATTTCAGGTATAGACCTGTCTGTCATCCTGTTGCATCCAATCCTTTATACATCTAATTCTCATTGATTTCAGTGAAAGCTCTAAGTCTGTACTGCAGGTGTTTGGAGATACTGATCTCTCTAAATGCAGCTTTGTAATACCTGTGACAAATGAGGTGGGGGAAGGGTGAGCAGTGTTGAATCCCCCACTAAACTGTTGACAGTTAAGGGGGTGATTTTCCTCACCAACAAATATATAAAAGCTCAAGTAAATTTGCTGACTTAAAAAAATGTTGGTATGTTTTAGTTTTGCATTACCAAATTAAAGAGAATATTTTCTTTCATTATTCCATAAATTCATTTGGAAATGCATAACATTTCACTTCAGCTTTCTATCCAGATTTCCAAATGCTAGAAGAAATTTAATTTTCTGTGGATGTAGCTAAAATAATAATGTTAAATGAGCGATTTCTCTAATTCCAGTGGATTCAGTTGATGGGTACTAGTTTAGTACACTGGAATGAGAATCAGCTAGCTTGATTCTGTTTTAGGTCTGCCACAGATTTCCTACTAAGAACTTAGCCAAAGTCCTATTCAGTGCTTCAGTTTTCCAATTTTGAATAAGAGTAATTGTATTTCCATATCTTACCAGGTGTTATATAATTAACATGTTGAAATATTGATATATTATTGTGACGGGTGAAGGAAGGTGAATTAACTAACCTTCATTTTGTGAGCACGATTGGTTGTCCATATACAAAGTTGCAAGATTGGGGTCTAAATAGGGATTGCTAAAATTATTGGAAATGATTAACTTACTGCAAAGTACTGATAATCTTTGACGATTGTAGCCCCATTGACAGTTCATCATTCCTTTGTTTTACTTTGTCTTGGTGCCTTATTTATTCCCACACTCTTTTGATTTTGTTTTAATCTGGTATCTCACTAGTGCTAAGTCTTCATGTACCAAAATGAAAATGAAAATGTAAAACCGACACAAAGTCTTGTTGTTTTAATACTTCTAGAGGTTGTAACTAAAATCACAATACAGTACATGTATTTAGAATTGTCAACTTTAAACTGTTGTTTTGGTATTTAAAAACCTTTAGTCTTCAATATGAGTTTAAAGATGTGTTTTATGGGTAGTGGTACATGGGTATCCTTAATATAGGTGTCCTCAAGATGTGTTTTATAGCATTCTGTTAAAATATGCCTAATTTTACACTTGCTTGTGAACACCAGCAAGAATTTAGATGTGCATTTACCTGTATTAGCACATTCAAATACCAGTGTTTGTACATGCAGCTGTGGTACATGTTTTTCATAGATGTACAAAAGAGATAAACTTTAGAAGCAGTATGTTGGAATAATATATATCCTTTATACTGCACAAGGTAAAAGTCCCAGGGGCACTCACTGTTTGCAGATGAACATATTCTGTTTACTGGCATTTGGGTGCACAACCCAAATATGCCTTTAAGGTGTAAACAGATGTCACATTTCTCCTGGGAGCCTTTTGTTCTGGGATCCTATCAGTCCATTGTCTCACTTTAAGTATGCAAGATAAAACAGGCTAACACATTTTTGGCACATTGCTGTATACTGTAAGTCAGGGATCAGCAGCGTATGGCCCAAGGGCCAGATTCAGCCTACCAAGCTTGAAGGCTTTGCTTCTGCCCATGTCTATGTAGTGGGGCTGGGCAGCAAGGAGCTGCACTGGTAGGGCCAGGCATCTCTAGGCTATGCCCTCATTCCTGTTGCTTCTACCTGTCCCCTGCTCCCCAGCTGAAGTGCAGGTGCAGCTTTCAGCCAGTGGGGAACTGAGCAGCCACTGCAGCCGTGGGCAGGTGGTGTGATGCAGGGATAAACAGCAGTAGATAAGGAGTGGGAGCCAGGGAGAAGTGGCAGCCTCATGCACGCAGTTCCCAGCTGCCCAGCCCTGGCTCAGCTCCTGTCTGCCTGGAAGCTGAGCTCATGTCCCAGCCAGGGAACATGAGAGAGCTGGGAAAAGCAGTGGCGGCACCACCACCCTTGCTGCTGATGTGCCGCAGAAGCTGCCCAGCCCACTCCAGACTGGAGTTGAGTTCCAGCCTGCAACTTGGAAAAGTTGCCAGCCCCTGCTGTAAGTTGATAGCAGTTCAGTCAAGTTAATTGCCAGTCATTGCAGGGACAAGCCTGTCAGGCTGTGCACTTTCCCTGTGGTTTCCCCTGCAAACCAACTTAGGAGAGTTACTTGTATAAAAGGGCTGTGCCACTCCTCTCTTGTCCTAGGTCTTGACTCGGATCAATTAGAACTGCCTCAGAAGGTCTGTTTCCAGCCTTAGATTATCAGTAGTGTTATTTGTGTACTGTAAATCAGTCATGTTGACATTTTGACAAGATTAGTTTAAAAAGACAATTATTCTCAGTACAAGACATGCTACTCTAAAAGTCACTTTAGAGTCTGAATTGAGGTTTAACTGAGACTCTTATAAAGAACTTTAATTGTTGATATTTGTTTGTAAAGGGTCAAATTCTGGTCTAATTAAACCCCCACAAACAACATGGGCAATTTCTTTTTAAAAGGAATATACTACAATATTCAGATTCTGTTTGCACAGTATAATTTGAACCAGCATGGACATAGAATCTGGGTTGGGATGATGCTATCAGAGCTAAAGAATACCCTTACCCTAACATTATAAATTTTCTTTCCTTCTCTATAGAATGGCCTTCCTGATACTCAAGCCAAGTTCCATATCATGTTTTTATTCTTTGCTGCCACCATGTTTTCAGTCAGTTTATCTTCTCTTTTTGGATATCATTGCTGGCTAGTCAGCAAGAATAAATCTACATTAGGTAAGAGATGTCATGTTTTATCTTGCTGTCCGTGAGTATTATTTCCCTTTGTTCATTAACATGTATCAAGCAGATGGTACAACTTAAATGAATATAAAAGAAGTAGGTTTAAAGACTAAGCTTGTGGGTTTAGTAAATGAATGCAATGACTGACTGATGGTTTTGAAGTCCAAAGCCCTTGCAAAGGTAAACACATCAGGGGATCTAGTTATAGCATGGTTGAAGCTTGAAGTGTAGATAGAGCCTGTGTCCCTGTTACCTGGCAACAGACTTGGCCATATTTTTATTATAATTGCATCAGATAACCATGTTACTGCGGGGTCCTCTGACTTGATTAGTACATTGTCTGGCCTAAACCGCTTGCGCCTCCTCTGCTCACTTTCTCTGTAAGCTTAGGATAATTCATCAGTGTGATAGCAACAGGTTTTTAAGCTCTTTAAACAGAGTGCTCTTGATGCAAGCTGGTTTTAAGGTGGGAAATAGTCTATATTTGTTTTTCTGTCTCTTCTTCCCTTCCTTAAAATGCAGATGATCAAAGGCAAATAATGGCTAACCATTTCCTATAGGTAAATCTTATCTGTTTCACAGCCAATGTCTCTAGTATATTTATTTAATGGAGGCCTAGAACATCTAACATAAGCTGAGAAAATAGAAATGGGTGACGAAAATTATTTAAATGTAGACTATTTAAAACCATTAATAACTAGAATAGCTAACTTTTTCATGTAGTTGACTAAGGTTTTGTGAATGCATGTTGGAGGCATAGGAACAGTATTTACAGTGCAGCTACAATGTATAGTAAATGTTATCTTCTATTTTAGTAACTTCTGCTTGTAAGCATGTTGAATTACTTATAGCTTAGTGGAGTGGTTTTCAACCTTTTTTCATTTGTGGACCCCTAAGAAAATTTGAATGGAGGTGTGGACCCCTTTGAATTGTAGGTATGAGTATTCACATACTTTTGATTAATCATAGTAATCTTTCATAGACCACTTGGGCATAGTCTGTGGACCCCCAGGGGTCCATGCACCACAGGTTGAAAACCACTGATTTAGTGTAAGGAAAATGTGGCGTAAAGTAACATAATTGGATGTTGAATTAAAATAAATAAATACAATAAAAAACTTTCATCTGCTCTACCAAAGCAATATACCAAAAATCAGGATCCAACTACATTACTTTTTTATTATGTTTTTCACAGCTTTACATATACTTTCTAAAGGAGGGGAGACTCTAGGCCTGTTCAGTCTGAGGAAGAGAAGGCTGAGAGGTGACTTGATAGCCAAGATACAAAATATTTAGGTAGTCAAGGTTATAAAAGCCTGATGCATTGCAGAAGGATTGAGGTAAATTAGAATTCAGGTGCCAGTTGAACAGAGCAAGTTTAAAGTACATAAGCACAGAATAATGCATGCTAAAAGCACCTGCCTATCAGTCTTCAACAAAGTTGTGTACAGCGTCAATTTGAAATACACTGTAGTCTGCATTTCCATTGTTAGATTGAGGTTGAGACACAGTTAATGTGATGTACTTGATCTGTTTCCTTTGTCCAGAGACAACACTGACACTGTAGTCTCTGCTGTTATTGAGCATCAAATTGATAGCCACCTACGAGTACATCAGGGGTGAGAATCAAGACATAGGGGAGCAACTGTTCAGGAAGGCACCTTAAGGGAGGACGAGGACCAATGGGCATAAGCTGATAGAGGGCAAATTCAGGCTGGACATAAGAAAAACCTTTTTCTCTGTAAGAGTCCCCAGAATCTGGAACACACTCCCAGCAGAGGTGGTATAGTTACCATCCTTGGAGACGTTCAAGATGAGGCTGGACAGGCACCTTGTTGAGCTCATCTAAGTGTAATCACTTCCTGCCCATGGTGGGGGACTGGACTTGATGATATTACAGATTCCTTCTCGTCCTTCAATTCTATGATTCTTTAAATTCAGATAGTTTCCCTAACCAGCTGTCCAAGGATAATTTTTCCTTAAATTTGCAAGATCATATTTTTAAGGCCTGCTAGCAAAGAACATTTCTGCAGTCCCAGAAGACCTTGTGTACTGGCACTGTAATTTATGTCAGAATATTTTTGGTTTATTGTATTGTATAGGACCCATTAGGAAAAGGCCCAACTTCGAGTTGCTTAATAAAAGGAGAACTCAAGTGGGACACCTTCAGCTGGACTTCATTATCTAATTATTATCTTAACTTGTCTACAAATTAGAACTTGAGCTCTCCAATGCATTAATCAGTCCTTGGGCTGGAGTAGGTTTCCTGTGCAGATCTGAGGAGGTAGAATAAAGATCTCTGACCTAGATGTCCTACCATATTTACTTGAATATAAGAACACCTTGATGGCCCCTGACTGATTAGATTCTATATACAGAAAATGTATACGTTTGTAATAGTTTTCCAGGCACACAGCTAATTTTCTACCCACCCCTGGGGGAGGCATGGGGCAAGGGCAGGCTGTGTGCTTGGGGCCAGGTCTGCTCTAGCCTCTTCCTGGCAGCTGCGCTCAGGCCAGGCAACAGCAGTGCTGGGAGGGGGGCCCATTTCCCCGCTCTTCCCCCCCAGCACCACCTCCACCCACCCTGCCCAGCCTGAGTGCAGCTGCTGAGAAGAGGCTGGAGCAGCCCCAGCCCTGAGCACACAGCAGGCAGCCCACCCTTGCCCTCCACATAGATCCAGGGGTTCCCATTACCCCTGTGCCTCCTCTTGGAGGTGTGCACAGCAGCAGGAACCTCCCCCTGCCCTCTGGATGAGCCGGCAGCTCCATCCCACACCCTGCACTCCAACTGGGGAGCACCAGCCCCACTTCCTCCTTCACTGCAGGGGCCTTGATCTGCCCCCCAACTCCCCTTTCCTCCCCCATGCCATTTCCCTCCAACAGACTAACTGGCCAGATGCTGCTCTCCATGCTGCCGGGCTGCGTGTCGGCAATCGGATCAGTGTTAGCCGATATGGCTGGTCAATAATCAGCCATCGTTATCAGGGCAAAACATCTTGATTGGTTCATCTCTAACTTTTATATAGTATAAACTATGCATGGTATTAGATTAAAGCAGAAAGGCTCATAATTCACCATTGGGCTGGGCCCCAGTGGAGTCAACAGCATTTCAGGCATTAGTGACCTCATAACTCAGCATATGTGTGTACTCCAGATATCCCCCAGAAAGAATCTACGTGCTGATTAGCCTTCCACTCATGACTAGAACCAGGTCTTGTTACAGAGTCCTGGGATCCTCCAAAAATTTATATGCAGATGAGGTGCAGGGCAACCCACTAATGGAGGGTGGGGCCACACTAATCATATGTACCAGGCAGAGGGGGGTAATGGAAGGATTCTGGGTAAAGTGTTTAGGGCCCCGTTTGATGATGTTTGCCAGACACTTAATGCTGGTGAAGAAAAAGGAATAATTGGAAAGAAAGTCACAACTCAGCTGTGGGAGTGAAAAGGAAGTTGAAATGTATGCAATGTAGTGGTTCACCATGACTTGTCAAAGAGTCGGCACTAAGGGGGACTGTGTACAATGGGGACTACCATATATCTTCTTCAGATAGGCTGTATTAATTTATCCTTGTAGTAGGTTTCCATCAATAAGTTTACTCATTATGGGCCATGTGGTTTAGTTATGCTCAGTGGTGGCTACAATTAATCAACTTCATAGTCAGTTTCCATTAGTGAACACGTGCTGATTTTGGCCGCAGTTTAATGAGATGATGTATGTGATGAGGTTTCCTTGTATTCAAATGTAAGATGAGCTTTTTATCCCATACTAATTTGGGGGGGGGGAAGGGGGAGCAAAATGGCTTCTATATTTGAGTAAGCACAGTATTTATTAAAAGGATTAAGACCAGATGTTGGCTAGTAGCATCCCTGACAATGTGAAAAGGATGCTTTACTTCCCAAAGGGATGGATTCTTTCCTCTTCCTCCCTTGCCAATTCATGTTTGATTTGAGGATGGGGTAAAAAATCTGAATGTTGCCTGTCTTCTACCTTGTTGGGTTCATGCCATGATGACATGGCATAAGGCAATATTGTTGGACTGTATAGCTCATTTAAAAAAAAAGGAATGTCCATAGCTCACTGACCTTGTTTTCACAGGAAGATTACGCCTACCTTTTCCTTGCTCTCTCTGCTTTCCATACAGAAATGGTAATCGAGTATCACCAATAGCAACCCCTCCTTCACAGGAGAAGGTTGCAAAAAGAACTAAAATAAGAAATGTGGCAGGGCCAAGAAGGCCCATTGTCACTGCAGTGGTCTGAATATTGTCACTAAATTAAAATGTACTTACGTTTGTTCTATTTCTTGGCTATCTCATTTTTAGAAGCATTCAGAGCTCCAATATTTCGTCATGGAACAGACAAGAATGGGTTTAGCTTGGGCTTCAGCAAAAATCTAAAGCAGGTGTTCGGTGATGAGAAGAAATATTGGTTGTTGCCTGTTTTTACAAGGTATACGGACTACATTTTTTTTAAATAATTGAAATGTTGATACTCTTTGGAAGTCAACAGTACTTTTTTAACCAAATCCTATGAAGTACAAGTGGTTTGAAGCAGGAATTGTAAAATTATTTTTAAACTAGTTGACTTTATTCATATTATTATTCATTCAAGTATAATACTGACTCTAAGTTTCTTTCTCTCTGCAGTCTAGGTGATGGTTGTTCCTTTCCAACTTGTCTTGTTAATCAAGATGCTGAACAAGCATCCACACCTGCTGGACTTAATTCAACAGCCAAAAAGTAATCATTAGCTTCTTTCTCCTTTAATTGTATCACTTAACCTTTTAAATGGTAAATATTCTACTTTTCACTTGTTTACATCAGGCAGATATTATAAATGCAGTCAAATATATATGCATCAGAAAAATAAAACGTTATTCAGATAAGTATCCAATTTTATAACTTCATAACTTAAAATATGACAAAGGAGTGTACCTAGCATGCCATTTTGAATGTACCTTTTAATGCAGAAGCAACAGGGTCTTTTTAAAATTCAGATTAGATCCAATTGTCCCCAAATAAACCATTCTGTTTTCTGGGATTTCCCAGATACCACTGCAAAGAAGGCATTTTTCTTTGCCCTCAGCCACTGTCATGGAAAAGGAAGCAAGTGGATTTTAATTCTACAATTTCTCCAATAAAAACTGTTTCACCTGATTTATTGTTTTCTGGAGATAGTTGTACAAATACTGTTAAAAAGGAAATGTAATCCTAATATTACTAGCATTTCTGGCACTTGATATTCTCCAGTTTTTATATGTAAGCAATAATTAACTAGCTCTGCATATTTCAACAGTAACAGACGTGTCTTACATAATTCTTAATACATGATCATGAAAAAAATAAAATTGGCTCTGGGTGGTAAACTAGATTAGCAAGTATCCTCTTTTTGCTATTTATGGGTAAAGGACACTGAATTAAAGTAACATGAGTATTGTTGGAAGCAGGACTACTTATGTAGAAAGAAATTGAAGCCTGCAGTTGGCATTTTTCCAGCCAGCAATCAGTAAAATGTGATTCTTGTTTTGTTTTTTTTTAAATTCTGTCTGTTTTGTCTTTGCTGGGTTTTGGAGAGCTTGAAATTAATCAAAATACGTTAACTGATCCCTAATCTTTGCTTAAGAAAAAGCTTTAAATAATTTAAAAGCTTCTCAGTTCTATTTTAAATTATTACATTTGAATGTGACAAAAATGAAATATCTGTTTTAGAAGCCTTGTATTAGAATGTAGACTTCAAACAGAAATAAGGAGGGAAATTTTTTTTAAAGAAGGTTACACGGCCAGCTGTTTAAAATGTGTAGTAGCTTTGAGGAGAAAATTTCCAGAAGTTAATCTTTTTTTGGTATTTTTAATTGCCTCTAAATTGCATCATAGTGAGAGTCACCTTTTTCCCGCAAAGCCGTTACGAGACTCCCAGAGCCACCTTCTTACCGATACTCAGTCTTGGACAGAAATCAATGCAAATACTGAAAAGGGCAAAGTTGGTAAGAATTTGCTTTATGTTATAACAATTTATTTCATTGTAAACTCTTTTTGGTGGGTGTAATTTTAACAATGGTTGTTGACTTCTCTTCATGAACCATAGCTAAATTCATATAGTTCTGTGGAAGTGAAGTTAGATGAAGTTGCTCCCAAGGGGTTGTCAGCTCATACTGCAAGACAGTTTGAGTAAGCAGAGTTAGAGATTATAACCAGATTATAGTTTATTCACTGTCAGTCAGATGACCAGACTGGCCAACAGAGGGTATAGATGTAAGGGTACGCAAATCCAAACTCACCCCAAATCATTTATCATTTATACATGTATAGCAACATAGTCTAATCATAAGCTAACACACAATTAATTATATAGGAACATTCACAAATCAAACATTTACTAACCAATCAGAATAGAAATACCATATCAACCTTCTTTTTTTAACTTGGTGATATCTGATACCTAAATTATCTTTGTGTCCTAAATTTTGGTGCAATCAAAGAAACTAGGCAGATAGGGCCTATCGCTATTTCAAGCTATCCTAATTCGTCCTAGCAGATACAGCCCATAGTAGACAATTTAGCATCCAAGGTGCATGTTCGTAACACTCCTGGCAAATGTGCAGCTAATGGCAAGATAGGATCCGATGTGTGATCCCAACAATTACACTTCGTGCTATGCCACTTGTACATGGCAGGAGGTACAATTTTGGGATCCAGTATCAGATCCCAGTCATACCATATATCCCCCTATACTGGTAGGTCAGGTGCCTGACAATCAGCCTAATCATTGGCTAGCTCCCCATTCGAGGCCTCCGCATGGTCCCTGGAGCTGGCCAACTATCACTGATAATTGACAGATTGAGACTGCCCCGGGGTTCAAGTCCTGAGGCAGTTCTAATCTGCAGTTGGCTGGCAGGGATCTCCCCAGGGTTCTGCCTTTGGCATGCTCTCTGCTGAAGATCATCTGATTGTCATGGCCCTGGGATGTGAACCCTAGAGTCATCCCAGTTGCCCATCAGCTGGCAGGGACTGCTTCAAGACTGGAATCCTGGGGTGGTTCCTGCCAGCCAATGATCATCTGATCAGGATGGCCCTGGGATGAGAGCCATGGAGCCACTTCAATCTCCACTACCCCAGGATCACAGTCCTGAGGCAGTCCCTGTCATGTGATGGGAGATTGGGACAGCTCTAGAGCTCCATCTCCTGGGGTGTCCTGATCTCCTATCAGTTGGCAGGGAGTGCCCTAAGGCTCCAGTCCTAGAATGGACCTGATCAACTCTCAACTGGCAGGGACTGCCTGGGGGGTCAAGCTACAGGCGGTCCCTGCCAGTTGACAATCATCTGACTGGGACAGTTCTGGGATTTGAACCCTGGACCCATCCTAATCAGTTTGCAGGGACCATGCTGGGACTTGAGCTCCTGGTCAGTCCCTGCAAGCTGATAGCTGACTGGTAACGCTCTGGGGTTCCTGTCCTGGTGCAGTCCCTGCATGGCAAACCATATTTTCAAGTTTTGGTGCCATACAAACCAGCCACAAAGATACTATACATTTCAAGTACTATCTTTGTGGCTGATATGTGGCCATAAATTCTTTGAACATGTGGATAGTTGTTATTTCTTGCACAAGTAGCCCCTTAATCACACCAGAAAAATAATGTCTGTCAGGAGCCTCTAAAATCCTGTGCGCTTAAGCCAGAACTGTCCAATTTCTGTATGTCATGGGGCCACACCCCTCACCCATAGCCATATGCCATAAGCTGGACTGCACTGCACTGCATGGCAACTGTCCCCCACCACCTTCCACACCATGCCAGTGCCCCTGTGCCCTACACACCATGACACATGCCCCCTGATGTACCATGCTGAGATGCCATGCAGTGTCCCCAGATTCCCCCAAGCTGCCTGGCTCCAGACTTCCACAGCCCTACAAGCCATCCTGTCCCCAGGAGTGGTGGCAGCAAGCAAAAGCCAGAGAAGGGAGTGGGGGACCCAGAAACTCCAGCAGTAGCCACAGTTGGAACAATTCAGGGAGTTGCTGTAAAGAGAAGAGGATTGCATGCATGCTATAGGTACTATTAAGGTTAAAAAAAAAAAAAGGCTGTGTTAGAGGTAGAATTCCAGTTACTCATAATTAGACATGTCTTTCCTTATAGTAATGTTTATAGAAATGGTTGGTGAAGCAAAGCTTGCCTTGAATTACTAGCATTACTTTGAATAATGTCTACTTAAAAACAACATGAGGTTCACTTTAAAAAACATTATTTTCTGTCCTGTTTGATCTCCAAAGGTATGAGCAATCCTGCACTAGCCATGGAAAATGAAACCTAGTCACTCTTAAAGCCAACATCTGAATAATTAAGAAAAGGTACGTTAGACTCTTCTATATTTTTTTGCCTTCCAACTGTTTGGCGTTTCTTTACAGAAGTAAAATTACTACAGAAGTATTCCTGGTATTTTTTTTTCTTCTTTTGTTCACAGTTATTTTGTCAATAATTTCAAGGTTTTCCTGTTCTAGTTTAATTTTGTTACTACATCAGGTATTACTATTTAATTTCCCCTGCTTACACTAAAGAGACAAGGTTCTTTGGGTAAATGTGATATCTTTTATTAGACCAATTAAATAGTTTGAAAAATTGTTCTTTGCAAGCTTTCAGGTACAAACACCCTTCTTTCTCTTCAGGCTCTCCCTCTGCTTGAAGAAGGATGTTTGTACCTGACAGCTTGCAAAGAACAAATTTTCCAACTATTATTTGGTCTAATAAAAGATACCACATTTACCCTAAGAACCTTGTCTACCTTTGTCCTTAGATCAACATGACTACAACCCCCAAAACATGGAAAATATTTCTTAAATAATAATTTAAAAATAAATTATTCAATGATTACAGGTGGTCAGTCTTCACAAGGTGAAGTCAATTCCCAAACTGCTACAGCTGGCAATGCAGGTTGGGGAGGAGGTGAGCAGCCATCAGTGGTGAAATAATAGGTTATAGGGACTGTTCAGAAAAGCAGGTTGTGTACAAGTCTATGGGGCCGGACACAGTGCATCCAACCATGCTGAGGGAGTTGGCTGTTGTGATTACAGAGCGACTGGCCATTTATCTTCGAAAACTTATGAAGATCAGAAGAGGTCCCAGATGACTGGAAAAGGGTAAATGCAGGGCTTTTTTACATGTGTAAGCTCTCAATGCTGCTACACATACTGTTTTATAAGTGGCAAAATGCACATCAGCATGCAGAAAATGGTGGTGGTACACTTTTGAACTAAAACACCTTGGAGGTGCTTTAGATCAAAAGTGTACCACTGCATTTTCTGCATGCTGACATGCATTTCGCCACTTATACAACTGCACACAGCACAGCACAGTGTGTGTCAGCTTGCGAGTGGAGCAGACTTGATGAGAAAAACAAACATAAATTGTGACTTGCTCAAGACTTACAGCAAATTATTGAAAAAGTAAGGTTTAAAATTTTAGTTTGACTTTAAACCTGAATTCAATCCTTTGTTATCACTGTACCTTTTGAATCAAATGAGGCAGGCAAAGATATGAAAAAACATTCAGTTGTACAAGTGGAAAAATATATTTGCACTTTATTTTCCTTTTTATGCCCAAAAGAAACTGAAATGGATTACATTAATTACTAGAAACAATACCTTTGGACATGGGTGACTGGTGCCTCCCAAGTTGGGGGGCAGCAGCAGGGCACGACCGGGGGGGGGCAGGTCCCCCAGCAGCCAGCTGGTGACCAGTGGGGGAAGCGGTGAAAGTGCCAGCATTTCCACATGTGGCACAACGGTGGCCTTTGGGGGCATATAATTAGGGACCTACTGAAATCACAATTTCATGTTTTTTGTGGAAAACCCAGTGGTCTCCATGATTTTGGCAGGATTGCCTAGAAATAAAAAACTTTCCAGCAAGCAAAGAAAGGAGCAAGAAACCCTGCAGCCTTGGAGCAAATGGAGTGAGGAGGACCTAATGAGAGGCTGAATCTATGACTTAGGCTCAGTACAGGTGCCAGTCCAGAGCCAGTCAGGGAACAGAAAGGGCTGTGACATCATTTGAGGCTGCCAGAAGCATGTTGCTGTGGCATGCTGCAGCCTGAGGAGAATGAATAGTGAGAAGAAATCCTCCAAGAAGGCAAAATACGTTTCAGCTTTGAATCATATAAGGCAGTACACTCTCTGCAGGGACCTTGCCTGTAGAGGGAGGCAAATTGTTCTGTACCACCTGCAACCTGACTCTGGATGTATCGAGGAAAAACAGTATAGATCAACACTTAGTCTGAGGCACACATGAAGCAAAAAGGTGTTGCAAAGGGTGAAGGTCAGAAAAAGAAACAAGGGACCCTAAGTTAAGGGACTACCTGAACAAAAATGTACCAAGTGCTGGATGTTTCTCATGTGCAAACAAGCTTTGCCAAGACTGTCTCCTTACAGTGACTGCTTCATTCATACAGTTGACAAAGTCTGCATTGGCATTGTATTAATCCATTTCCGTTGTGGTCTATGAAACCACTGACCCCTCAAGATAATTGTCTTGCACATTTTATTTGTATGCAGAAGCTGAAAACACTGGTTGGGACCTACCTGTTTTTTCAAATAGATCTGGTCCACCTCACATCTATCAATTTTTCTTCTATGGCGCAGGCTGCAGTGAAGGCTGCTGTCAACTATGACTTAGAATTGAATAAGGTCTAAGCATTTCTGTCCAATAATACCATGTATATGTGCAGGGCTTTTTCTGTTGTGCTCCGTGGAAAGATGCCAGTCCAGTTCATATCACCTGCAATGCACACATTCTGTCTTTAAAAAGTGACATGCAGTACCCTGATGTGGATAGCCTGCTCTCCTTCAAAAAAGCCTTCAAGTAGTGTCCAGGCCATAAGGTCCAGTACAGGCAGTCCCTTACCAGGCAAAGTGGAGACCCACATGCAACTGTGTCACTGCCACCAGAACCAGGGCTCACAAGGTGGAATTTGTGGTTCAGTGTGATCACACCAAGAATATACAATACTACTGGCAATTTGTGTCTGAGGAGCTGGAAATCACACCTGGCACACGGCACATGCTTAAGCTAAACAATCTCCTGGAGCAAGGAAACATTCAAGATCAAGTGAAGTTTGTGATAGAAAATGCCACCCAGTCCGTGGAGCATCTAATGTGGTTTGAAAGCTGATAGGCTGTGATCCACCATGCACATAAGCAGCTGATACTTTTGATAAGTTGGGTCCAAGACACCAGTATCACAAGAATCATTAAGCTGTCATCGTGAAAACCAGCAAAAAAGGGACCTGTTCCAGGCAGTAGCTGTTAAATCGAACGAGTACCGTAAGTACAACCCATCACTACCACCATGGGTTATACAGCTGGCTGCCTTCTTAGTGCTTAGTGCTTTTTGCATTTTTGACCCCAGTCAGGTGCCTTGGAGCAAATGGAGTGAGGGAGACCTAATGAGAGGCTGAATCGATGACTTAGGCTCAGTACAGGTGCCAGTCCTGATTTTTGACCCTCAGCTACTGAAATCAATCCTTGGATGGCAAAAAGAGCATGTCAAGGAATGTGCTCCTTACATGAACTTTGTCAGAGTGCCGGATGACTGTGACTGTTACTGCATTTTGGGAATGTGTTTCTGATTAGTTTCAACATCCATATGCCCTGACAAAACATTGTCTCACCATTCCAACCAACTCGGTTGATGCCAAGCATGTGATCTTACTGTATGGACAAGTGTTCACATCACAGAGATAGAGGATGTTAGTGGCAACTGCCAGTAGATGCTGCATGCTAGCATTTAACAGCTAACATGAAGTGACTGTCTCAAGGTTAGTACTGAGTATTGCTAAACTCTTTTTTACATTGTTAATAATAACATTATAAATGTATGTGGTGGAGTACCATTGGGGTGCTCACCACTTAGTGGGTTGCAGCAGGTTTTGGAGAAGCTTGCAGAGTAAACAGGAGGGAGATCCTCTCTCCCCCGCCCACCCCTGGTAGCCATTTTAAGGGGGAAGGTGTGTAGCAGTGCACTTTTGGGTGCCTGCCACTTCAAGGCTGAAGGCAGGCAGGTGTAGGCCAGCCCTGATGAGGTGGCCATTTTAGATCCAGGCCCATAGGGCCAAGCCAGCAGTGTGCTGCCAGCACCTGAGAGAACAACACCCAGCTCAGCTGCTGTTCACAACACCCGGTGGTAAGGGAGGAACTTTGGGGATGGTTGGAGATTCCTAGGGGCCCAGTGAGGTCCCACGCCCCAAGAGAGAAGACTTAGGGCCCAGCCTGGGCAGGGGCTTATGGTTTGCAGGCCTATACAGGGGCTAGGTAAGCCCCTGATGTGGAACGGGTGAGGCCACTTGAGAGCAGAGCCATGTTATTAAGACCTCTGGGGCCCTGAGTAAGTCCGGAGTGAGAGGGCTGTATGGTGGGGCCCAGGAAGGGACCCCTACTGCTTAAGGAGGTCAGCTGCTGGGGTGTTCTGGTACTAGCACCACGACTGGTCAGTGCAAGAGGGCCAGGGCTGGAAGGCTGAAGGGTAATGAAGCCCAACGCGAGGAGCAAGCCTGGGCCATGATGGGCTATCTGGCACCCTGACTGGCCTGGAGGCACGGCCAGGGCCTAAGGTGGCTGACGGTCCCCTCAATGGGGGGGCATCATTGTCTAGGGGGAGAAGGCTTAGTGAGACAGCAGGCTGACACACAGCCCAGTAGGGGTAAGACCAAGGCAGGTAGGCCTGCTTGATCCTGGGCATGACCAGAAATTGCATTCTGCCAGGGAAGAGTGGTCTCGTGGGGCTGTCCATGGTGGGACAGTCCCCCACAAATGCCAGGCCAGTTGCCTCCCCAGTGGAAGGTGAGGAGGGGTGCCATAAAACTACAGCCCCCACATCCTGGTGGGTTACTTAGACCCATGGACAGGTATGGGGGCCAGGCATGTCTCCGACCACCTGAGCCCCATGGGGTGCAAGACCCTGGAGGCCCCAGTGATCAGGGCATATATGGAAAGCCCTAGTGAGAGGGCATATGTGTGAGTTCCTAGTGAGCGAGCATAGTTGGAAGGCCCTAGCAGGAGGGCATAAGTTAAAGCCCCAGGGAGGGGGCACTTAAGCCAAGGAAAGTCTATGGATGCCTGAGGCCACAGTTGGGCCAGAGGCTGAGACCCCACTAAGTCCTCAGACGTTTTGAGGCCATGTGTTGGGTCAGAGTGAAAACTTTGTAAAAACCCTCACATGTGGTGGGGCCAAGTCAAAAGGGCAAGTAGTCGGCCCTAAGGAGGGATCGAGAGTGACAAGTTACCTGGAGAGGGGCTTGGGTCAGAGCTCTGCCCAGGACAAAGTGAATTGGCTGGTCACCATTCAAATGAGGGTCACGACAGGGCCTGAGAAGCTGCGTGCTGGCCAGCCAAGGAGTGTGAGTAGGCAAGCCTAATGGCCTACACAGTTGCTCAAGGGAACAGGCCAGGTTGGGTGTGGCCCAGTGAGGGGCAGCATGTAAGAGGGCAGAGTGTGAGAGGCCCCAATGAGAAGGGGGTGGTATGAATGAGGCCCAATGGGGTGGAGTGAAAGGAAGAATGCATGAGGTGTAGCAAGGGGCTGAGTCTGGCCCAGCCTCAAGCCGGAGCATAGAGCAGCTTGAGGATGCCATCAGTGAGGCATGGGACACAATAAGGGAAGATTGGAGTTGTGTACAGCTCCCCCTGGCATCGGGGCAGTAAAATGGGCAGCCTTCTGCATTTTATACACCAGTTTTAGAAACAGCAAAGTCATGGCAGGTGAGACTGGGTTAACTGCCCTACTTAGACAGGGGGACAGGCTGATGTGATACCCAGCCCTGGGATGGCCCCCGTCACAATGTAATTATAGTAATGTTATTAGTTAAAATTCATGGTGTGTATAGCTTTACTTTCATAAGACATTTTAGTTTAGAGTTTAAGTGAATGCTTAATGCTTACTTAGCTTGTCAATTAATGTTTTTTCGGGTAATTATGCTGCGGTTTCAGTCCCTCGGCCAATCAGCGGTGAGGGGCGGAACCATTGGGGCCCCTCGGCCAATCAGTGAGTGGGGTGGGAGAACACCACAAAAAGACTGTTAAAATGGCAGCCAGCACCACAATCTGGCCGTGAATTTTGGACTCTTCAGCCGCAATATAGGTAGACCCCTAACACATAATGTATATGTGACCTCCTAAGCATTTACTTTGCTTACAGTTTGGAGGTTAGCATAACCACAGCATTGATGTTTTGCAGCCAAGAAATGATGTGACAGTATATTGTGTGTGACCAGTTGATGGCTCATGGGACCAAGAGAATGAAATCCTAAACTGCAGAGGAAAATAAATGGTATTCTGATGGATATTGTCAGTAAAATATAAGATTTCTTGAGTCATACCAAGCCAATGAGAACTTTTATCTTCTGAAGTTTGTGCTCAGTTTATTCTTTAGGGGAAAAAAAAGAATAGATTTACGTTTTAAACAAAAAAAGAAAAAATGATGCTAGTCCAAAGCTGCTAACTCTTCAAACCTAAACGTTTACACTAATCACACAATGTAGCACCATCTCAACAACATTAAAGTAATCATTCCAGCAGGATCTTGGTTTGTCAGACACCCACAGAAATTCATTCCTACCCCTTTGTCACTATGGGAAGTACACTTTCAGTTCTCTCCAGAAAAACTTACACAGAGACCTAGAAATCCCAAAATGTTAGTAGCTAGAAACCAATAGAGTATGTGGAATGGACATGTGGGCCATATGCCCTAGGCACCACCTATTGGAAGGAACCCCAGGGACCCGTGCAGGAAGCAGCTGGCACAAGTAGTGTCACAGAGTGTAAGGTGTTCTGGAAAAATTGTAGCTTTATAGAGTAGCAGTACATTTTGCTGCTGCCGTGGGGAGAACTGACCCCGTTTTTTGCTGCCAAAATCAGCAATGTTTTGCCCTCCCAACATGGGCTTTGGCAGCAAAAAATGGGGTGAAAGTTGCCTTTCCAGTGACAATGAATTCCACTGGTGCTCTATAGATTTATGATTCCCAGAACCCTGTAACGGTGTTGGCTTGCAGGCTGTCTTTGGTCCTTTGAGAGCTCTTCAGCCAGTCCTGTATACCAAACGTGGCATTTGAGCTAAACAAACAAATAAGCAAATACAACTCTCGACTCTTCCCTGGTTGGAAGGAGAAGCCCTTTAGCATTGGCCCTGTACCACTGCATGGTGGTTGCTGGTGGCCAGCTTATCTGGGGTCCAGTCTGCCTCCTTCCACATGTTGCTCCTTCCCCTAACTTCCTCCTCTCTCCTCTGGGGTTTTAATTACTCTCTCATCATTAGATAACCCACAGCTGAGCTTCTATAACAGAGTTGTCTGCTCCCTCTTAAAGGGTCAACCCACCCTGTTTACAAATATGTCACTCTCAATGACACACATTGCCAGTGCCACTTCTTGTTGCTGCTCCTGCATTTAGTCTAGTGGGGGAAGGGTGAGAGAAGACTGCCCAGGTGTGTTCTTTGAATGTTATGCCTCTGCAAGAAACAACAAACAGAAAATCCCATAGCCATGACAATTACCAACATACAAATGTTATGCTTTCAAAGCTCCTACCCCAACATTAATATTCACAATGAGACATTTATTGACTAAATAATGCATAATCAATAATTTAACACATTTAAGCACACCTTTTCCTGTAAATGTTCTGTGAACAGTGTATGCATTTTTCAGTACATTCGTAATCTGATTTATTTCAATGATTTTTTTTCAGTGAATTATTCTTATGTGTAAACAGCTGGCAAACAGCTAGTTAAAAAACAATATTTGAGCTTTAATTTTTGTTTGCATGATTCATATGCTATTGATCCTGTTCCTGAATTGGATGAGTAACTTAACTAGCTTTCTGATCTTACTAATTGTGTTGTGATTTTTTTGAGCTTTCACTTAAAATTAGCTGCATCTCTGAGCTTTTATATGAATCACTGACAGGAGATTCATTGGAAAAGTACCAAAAAAAAGTGGTTGAGTACCATTAATTTGTATTCAAATTTTATTTGGGTGCCTATTGCTAATTTTTGCATGGTTAATAACTTTTATTGTTAATTGCAAAGGTGTATATTTGTGTTGACTAAGTTTCATTTATGTAAAACTGTTTTGAGTTGCTATATTCTACTTGCCAAAGTTCAGAAAGAGTGAATGTAGTGGATGTGACAGGCACAGGGCTGACAGTGGAAACTGAATTCTTCAGGGTATCATTCTGTCACCTGGGCTGCAACCCACATCCCTGACAATGTGCCATAAACTTGATTGCACCACTAGTCAGGATAAGAGGTTAATCTATATAGTCATTCATCCACTCACACTACAAAAAAATGATTGACATCAGTATTTCTTGCAACAGGAGTTGTTTAGTTATGCAGATAACCTGTAGGAACTGAACTGAGATTATTGTTTAAGTTCAAGTAACAGTGGACCACAAAATAATAGCAGGTTTTGACCTTTACGAGCTGAGACTGATCGATGTGAAGGGCATGCTCTTGCCAGTTTCTAGTTGATTTATTTCCCTTGTACATTACATTCAAATATGAATATTTTTCCTTGTAAATTACTGCAAAAATATAATTAATGTAATTCTTAAATTTCCCTGTGCTTTAAAAATGTGTTTGGATTTTATGTTCCGTTCCAGTTCAAAATGAAGCTGTTGATAGAAGGAAGGCATGTCTTCCAGAAATCAGCCTCTGTTGGCCAGCTGTTCCTGTCTGCTCCTGTGTGGATACGCTCAGAAAAATATTGACAGCTCATTAGCTGTCTCCATGTCATTGCTTGAAACATTGATATTTTTTAATTGTATAAAGAATGTTTCAGCTTACACAAATTATTGTTAAAATGGTAAAGGAAATTCTGAGTATTATAAATAAGAATCGAGATTGACTAGTGGGTTGGACAAAAATTACTATTGTGCAAATTCTGTGACTGATTTTTACTTTTATTATGATAGCACAAGAAAAATATAAATTCCTTGCATATAAACCAAACTATTACAGTGGCCATAAATAAGATTGAGTTTGCACTGCTGACTTCATTCATGGAAAAAGTATTATGTGTTATTACTGAGGATTATCTAGCTTGCTGATTGATCAGGTACCATGTTTTCATTTCAGTCTTGAATAAGCTAATTCTGATTTGAAACCAAACTGTCTGAAATATTTTAGAATGTTTTGGTAACTTGATTGCAAATTCCATCCCCTTATTTTCTATGGACAGATCTCACTGTTAAATTCTAAATACTCAGTTGTTGGAATAACTTCTTATTTGACTGGGTGGTATGCTTACTATCAGGGTTAATCTTAATTCTGAATAGAATAAGAAGCCTACATTAAAATGGGCTCTCTCTAAAGGTTCGTGTTTAGATCAAGGCTTTTGGTTAGAGCTGCACAGTGCAATCAGTTTCTGTGCTTGTATTTAACAGAAAAACAGTGTGTGGTTTTAATATTGCTTACAGAACATTTGAACCAAAAAGCATACTCTAAATTGAGTTTTTCAAGAAACACCATCACCCAAAACCAGACCACTTCTTATGGCATGATAGTGATTTTACCTTTTCTTTCTTGCATTTACTATTGTATTATCAGAAAGTAATGGTATGTACATACAAGAAGACTATATTTTGTTGTCAAAACATAGCATTTATAATATTGCAGGGACATTGAACATCTGATCAAAAGCCAAACTGATTCCCATTAAAAAACAGTTTTCAATTAAACCAGATGTGTACATTTTCAAAATCAGATACTGGCTTTCATAGGATCAGAGTTTTTACCAGACAGATTTTAAAAGATGTATTAATTTCTAAAGCCAAGGAAGCTCCAGTGACACAAATCTTGTGCCTTTTTATGCACTTCATTAATGGTACTGCAAAATGTTTACATAAAATGCATGGTAATCATGCTAATCGCAAAACAATTCTTAAAATTGTTGGCTTATACTTTCTAGACTAGCTAGAAAGAAAGCTTTAAAAAATGACACTTGAGGTTATGGAATTGGTACACAGATGAAGCAGATCTGCAGATTTAGTCCTTGGAACTCGAAAGTCGAATTGGATTACAGAATTATGTTTAAAAAAGTGTGGACAGACGGAACAATTCTGCTGCTGCTAACTGTTCTGATGCAACTTTTATATTTGTCTGCTCCTCTGTAGGAATAAGTGAGGCTAAACAGTTTTAACTTTAAACCCATTCCATTCTGGTCTTGCTCATTTAACAATATACAATTTAGGAGATGAAATGGTTGTAAGAACAGCAGGTATGCACTCTCACCCAGCAAGTTCCCCTTAGCCTTCCTCTTTTAAAATGATTTGAAGTTATTTTGTATATTTATAATTGCAGGAAGAAAAAAACCTTTCTGAAAGAAGCTGTGTTTAGATCACAGGAACTGGAATAAATCGGAATATATTATTTTTCCCTTTTTGTTTCGGTATTGTTTCAGAAAACCATTATCATTATACCTCTTTTACAGCAAGTAATTCCAAATTAATCCAATTCTTTTCCTTTGGCTCACTTTTTTTTAAATGTTCTTCTTAAAGTGATAATGGTTGATCTGACATGGACTACCAGTTTTGATATATCTTCAATTCATAGTTTTTACATTTGGTTTTTTCTATAAAGGCAGGGTAGGGTTTGGGTTTCTTTTTAGTTTTACTGATCTGAAGACATCTCAGATTCTGTTACCAGAAGTGCCAGAATATGATCCCTAAATGTAATATTTTTAAACTAGTCTTTGAAGTTAGCACATGGTTTATGTGATGCACATAAACATTCTGAAACTGAGATTCCACAATACATTCTTTGTTCAGTGTTATTCTGCCAAGAGCTTATTTTGTATCAGTGTTTTATTTAAAGGCTGGTAACTGTCAGAAGTAGCAGATGAATATATCTTCAGTTCCTAATGTTGTTGTATTTGTATACTCTTACTTGTTTTCACATAATTATTGAGCTGGGGGTTGTCTTTCACAGAAGCGTGCATTGAACTTACCTACATATCATGGGACACGGAGAAGGTGGAATTCTGTTTAATGTGGCTGGCCTAGTAAAAAGCTGTACCCAAACATAGATCTCCTACCATTTCCGTGGAAAGTAAGGGTATCAGCAGCCTCTGTAACATCAACCTGCCACCTCCCTTACCCCCGCTCTCCCCATTAAGAACCATTTTAGGGGAAGGCTGTGGAGTTCCTTGCAGAGTATCCCTCTACCACCTTTTACAAGATGAGGTGATCCAGCTCTAGGGTATCATTTCTGAGTATGGTCTTGGCTTGGGTACTACTTTGCTTCGTATGTGGGAGGGAAAATTTGAGTTATTTAAAAAAAACTCTATGGTTCAGCAATTCTGTTGTTACAATGCAATTGTGAGGACTTTTGGTATCTGGAGCAAAAGCACGATAATGTTGGCTGTCAGATTACATTGAATCCTGTGTTTTACATAACTATGCTAGGCACTTTATGTAAGTCTGCAATATGTAAGACTTGGTTTGGTTTGGTTTTTTTACATGTATGAACAAAATGCTGTATACTGATTGAAACAGCCTGAAAATGTTGTAGACATTGAACCTCATCCATAGGCTACTTTTTGTAAAATACAGCTTCAAGTTTGCTATGTATAGACACCCGTGCACACCTGTGTTGACACGTAATTTTAGTGGGTTACAGGATGACTATAAGAATCTAGCCAAGCAGACCTGGATCCATAACTAAATTGCAATTAAGTTACTGCATATGGAGACAACTATATCTATTGCTAGATACTCAGGTTTGTGAATAGGTTGAATAAACTATTAGTAGAGTAAAACAGGTAGTAAATACACAGATCCTGTACTCAAATTATGTAACTAAAATGTTTTGTTGTAATTTCTAAAATCTCATCAAATGTAAAATTATTTTTATGAAGAACAGAGAGAATCTAAATGTTAATGAGCTGCTCCCATTAAATCAGTTTATAACTGTAAATTAGGTACTGGCCATGTTTTCAATATATACTTGAAAGATCTGTTTGAAAAGAGAGAGGGGATTCTGAAAATAGTTAGATTGCAGTCTACAGTTGAGAGATTAGTTTTCAAGTAAAACTAAACTAGCACACATGTTGGTACGGAAGTTGAATATATTAGATGAATGAAAGCTAGCCTTTTTAAAAAATATATTCATTTTTAGTAGATGTTTGAAGTTTTTACAGGCATAAGTCAAATGTTAAGAACAAGTCTTGAATCAAAATCTGAGACTGTCAGGATGAAGGAAGAATGTGGTTAAAACTGCTCGTTTTAGTGCATGATACTACTTAGCACACTACTTTTAACCACTGTTTCTGCTACTTCCCTTGATTATCTTGGTCCCAGTGTAATGTATGGGCTGAAATCATTTTTGTAAGTGTTTCTACATATTTTGGTGTACAGAGTTAACAGCTATTAATGTAGTATATATGTGATTAAATGCTTTGTGCAGCAAATCTATCATATACATAGTAGAGGCAAAGTAATCTTTAACCCTCTTCTTCCATCCTCATTTCTGTAGCTTAATGGCACTTACTTAAAATTAAGGGAGGTGGTTAGCTGTGTTTAGTCTGAAGTCAGGCAGGGCAGGATGGCATCTTAGGGCACCTATATACGTGCAGTGAGGCTGCTCCGACATGCTGTAATTTCTGCACACTGGAGCAGACTCAGTTAATCAAGTCTGCTAGAGCATGGTAATTACCTCAGTCGAGCAGACTCCAGCATCACATGTATCAGTGTCCCCACATTGAAAAATGGCAGTGGGGGGGCTCAGTGAGCCTTAGTTAAAACACCTCCACCACTGTTTTTCAGCATGGGAACGCTGATACATGTGACACTCCAGGCACTTTAATTTGAGCAGCTCCAAGCATAGGCAATTGGTAGAGGGTACATGTGCCCCCCCGATGGCCGACACTGATGCTGGCAGTAGGGCTGGTGTCTCTCCCCCCCAACAGGGTCAGTGGCTTCTACAGGTGCCCCCCACCCCAGATTCAGGAGACACCAGTCACTCATGGCTCCAAGAGACTAGCTCTTAGAGACTAGCTGGTTTAGAGAGGCATAAGCATTTGTAGGCAACAGCCTACTTCAAAGCTCATGCCTTTGAACCATTAAAAACAAAAGTTTATGCAAAAAAGGTTTTACCCTCACTCTGTAATAATACTTCAGCAATCATTTTACAGTGTGGCAAACATTGATGGAAGTAAATGGCCCATAATTTACCAGCAAATAAAAAAAAGTCTTTCAGTGATGTAATTAAAATTACTTTATGGATAGAGTGTTCAGATTTTTCAACGTTGGCAGTGTTTCAGGGCTGATTCTAGGGAACTGTGCAATAACTAGCATGTATTGCACAGTCGATCATCTCTTCCCATTGGCAATTTGTGTCTGAGTATAAGAAAAAGCATTTTAAATTACATTTTGAGTACAAGTGACACCAAACTACAGTCACAAAGATTTGTCAAACTCCTGTGCTATACAGTTGCTTAGATCTTTAAAAACAAAAAGTTTAGTGTTTGACCTGAAAGTTCCTGAGGTGCCTGCCATTCTGCTTTTACAGGTGTCCATCTCCTGCCTAAAACCTCATTGGGATCCCAAAACTGAGCAGAACAATGCCTAAATTCTCTGAAGGGGTTTGACCTAGCAAGAGCAGGCCTCTTGCAAAATGCAGTTACAGCCACTTTCTTAAATACAGCTGAAGGAGCCCAGCTCTTATGTAGTGGGCTAGTGGTGAGAAAACTCATCCAGCAAATGAGCCACAGGCTCAGTGGAGGGGGTTTGAGCCTACCTCTTACCTTTTTGAGGGAGTCCTAATCACCTCCCATAAAAGCTGTGACACTGTGCACAAAGGAATTTCTTCACAAGGACAGAAAGAGATCACAGAGGAGCAGAAACTTTGGTTATAGCAGTCAGTTTGGGGGCACAGGGGGAAAAGTTTGTACCCTGCTTCTGCAGTCTGTTTTGTATCCTGTTTGACTGTGGAGATGCAATGAAACCATGAATGCTTCACTCACTGAGCCCTCCCTCATCCAGTGGTAATCATGTTTTACAAGGACACAGTGAGCACCTTACTTGGTTCATATAAAGAATATCTGTGAACACCGTAGCTCCCTTGTGCAGATTGTATTCTGTTGACTAGGTCCAGCAACTCTCAACTCAACAGGCAGTTTTGGGGTTTTTTTGATCTACCACACTGGAGTTTTTTGATCTACAAGTTAGACACTGCAGTACAAAATTCTTCATTACATCCCAATCTCTGTTACTGGCTCAGTGAAAACAAGAGTTAAGAACAACCTCCATTCAGCTGTTGATGTATTTAGTTCCTGTCTTTTATTAGCAGTAATGCTCTGTGATTCGGCTGACAGTAGGAAAGCCTGAGAGTAGGGCACCTTAAGTCCCTTGGGCTGGTGATTAATTTTTCACTTGTTCTCTACTACTTGTACCATGTATTAGGTATGTTTACATGGCAGCATAGCATAGAGACAGGCAAGCTGTAGAAGCAGAGCCTCCCCCTCCTTGGCCATATATACTCTGTACAGGAAGAAATAAGTAAGGGATAAGAAGTAGCCTCCTCATATTGCAGCCTTTTGTTTATCTTTGGCCTACATTTGAAGCCTAAAACAGGTCCGATTCAGGAGGGTAACTTCTACAGGACAACGACTGCCTTAAGAAAATATGTTGAGTATTGCAGATACTACTTGAAGAAATAGCTAGGGGGAGGGGAGACGGAAGAAGTGTTTTGAAGATGTAGGTTAAAGAAGTGATATTAATGAAGCAATACTGAGTTGTTGAAAGGCAGAAACAATGGACCAATTAAGGATTTCAGTGTAGTTACTTCATGCTGGCTCAGCTGTAGCCAAGGTCAGACTGGTCCACAATCTTGCTTTGTCCTTCAGTGAGCCTGAGTCTACAGGTGTTTAGATTGCCAAAAAGTGGATATAAAAAGGTATGTTTTGAGGATGACTGACTTACTACTAGAATTTCTTATTGTGTATTAGAAGCATTCACAGGATATGACAGTAATTTCATACAAAATAAAAGCTCTCACCTTCCTTCAGAATTGCATTTGAGCAAGAAGCAAGGTTGCAAAACAGTATCAGGAGGGTCAGGTATGCTTTCACCTCACCACTCGGGCATTATGTTATTGTTTCCTGCTCTTTAGTCCTATCAGTTAAACTCTCAAACAGCTGTCAGAAGTCACAACTTAGAGCTCTGCTTCAGAATTATTTTAGGTAATGCCTTAATGGGCATGGCTCCAAGACACCCAAATACATATTACCAAATCTAAACATAAACAGATACTGCACAAAGATTAGAGGAGCTTGTTGCTTTTGTTTGTACTCTGTAAACAGCATTATGTATTTTTGTATCTTGCAAAATTGCTGCTGGAAAAAATAAAATCTTTTAAGTCATTTACATCAGTTATTAGCCATTTATTCCAAAAATCTTGAAAGATGAAACTAAAATGTTAGTATGTTTTTTTGCTGCCTGGTCACATCACAATGGAAATCAAATTCAGAATCCGAAGTGAAGAGAGATTTTTGGCCTCATGATGCACAGCCTATGGCTTTTGAAGTCAGCAGTGCTGACACTAATTGCAAAAATGTTTGTCTTGTACACCTTCAGCAGTATGATGTGCTCTGAGCAAGACTAAAATTAAGTTGGGGCAAGGGAAAGATGAGATTTCCTGCCCCTAATGAGCTTGCATATCTAGAATAAGATGAAGGCTTTACAAAGAAATGGAACGCTTACTATGGCCATGTAGCAGATCAGCAGCCCAGCTGGCAGTACCTCAAATCCCATGACTCCCAGTCCAGTGCCATTTCCATTAGACCGTGCTGCCCTCCAGATTCTTGTCACAGTATCACGACTTTTCTAACACCACTCTATTGACATCTTTTACTGCCTATCATTTAAGTTATTCCAATGGAAAATGAGCGAGCATCCTTCTGTGTAGTATTTAAGCAATGAACACTGGCTTGCCTTCGAACTTGATGGTATGACAAGTGAGCAAAATTGACATTGTTCTGTTGCACATCAAAAGCCGTGTTTTACTAGGGTAGTTATAAACTCCGTTGTAGGGGGATGTTTTCTGAATAAAGTCAATTTGAAACAAACTGGAATAATAAGTTATGTGCAGTGAGGAAGAACCACTGGGTCAACAGCATCTTTTGAACCAGACTCCTCAAGATCCTAACACTTACCTGTAGTAGTTGAGATTAAAGGAGGATGGTGAGGAATTTAATATTCCTAGGTTCAGTGCTAGTCTTAGGAAGTACAAGGTTGATTGTTAGGGCTCTGAAGTGAGGCAGCAGGGTGTAATCCCAATTGCTCAGCACTGCAGAAGCAAGCATCTGAAAGCTGTGCATGTTGATAAGCCACCATGCAGACAGACTCCCTTCACAGGATGGTTCAGCAGGAGACAGCGTTTGAACTTTCATATGCTGCAATTTAAGCTAGAGATCTCTCATTGACATCCCCACCCCTTTACTTTCCCTGTTCTAGCTCTGCTCCTGAGACATACAAAAGTATTAATAAGACAAGCAGATAAAAAAAAACCATATGCTTTTAAATTATGGAGCAAACCTGAACAGCCTCTGGACAGAGCTTTGTTTTGCCAAAGTCAATTAAGTTGCCTTGCACTTAGGGCACACTAAAAGCATGTACCTGGGGAATTATTCCAAAGTAACTGTCACATTATAAATCCCTTATTGTGTACTAATGGCACCACAGAGACTTTATATATTAGATAGTCTAGCCCCTTGGCAACACTCAGCAACTCTTAACCCACATACACTTTGATGAACAGTGCCCAACTTCTGCATCACAAAAGGAAACAAGGACAGAGACCTGTAGCTGCATGTACAATTTCAGTAAAGTGGTTAGCTCAGGGAAACAAGCCCTTGGCTGCAGGGTACCGGTTCAAATGCAGCCAACAGCACTTTTCACTGTATCATCTCGCACTCTTCTTCCCACTACCTTGCCCTACCAAAAAGTACACTGTTTCCATATCAGATAACTATTCCCTAGCCATTTTGATATGGATCATATTAAGGCATATAGGAAAATTTGCTAAAGAAGAAAATATTTGAGCCTAAATTTACAACTGCCTGGAAATGGTATGCATGGGGGCAGGGCAATGGAGGGTGGAAGACTGTTCGTAGGCCGAGGTACAGAAGAGCCACAGTCATATCAAAACCATGCTAATCCTCAGGTTATGAAGATAACATTTATCTTGTACAATGCAATAGGTGAAGTGCAGCAGGCTACCAGCGCACATGCCATTACCAGTCCTCATTTCCTGCCCCCCCACAAAAAAAACTTGATTTCATTAACACTCACATTTTGTCCCTCAGTGCATTGACAACCAATACAGTTCACCTGAACAGCTAGATTTCACAAGTCAGCATCTCTGTCCTGTAGGGACTTTTTGTGGGCAAGACAGCACCAAGCAATAAGATCACAGAACAAGAACCAAAAGGAAAAAGGAACAGCGTCTAGCAACACTAGCATAGCAGCATAACTACACACAGGCATTGTTAGAAGCCTTCCCTTGCCCACAGAAGCAGCATTTTTATTACTAGCATGACTGAATTTGACCGCAACAGCCCTGAATGGCATCACAGAAATGGAGATAAACATGTTTCCCCTTCTCCAACTGCTGTGTGCTGACAGAGTAAAAGAAAACAAGCAAAAGTCAGGGTGGGTAGGGGTCAGGGACTGAAGGACTATGCATATACCTGGCAGGCTATACTCACCCATAGTTTCTGAGCCTTACAGCCACACACCCATTCTCTTTGAGCAACTCTTCCTGCATAATCAGGAAATAGAAATAGATAGGAGTCCTGAATGAGAAATCTCCCTCTCCAAATCCACTATCAAAATCTGCATTCCATTTATTCCACTTCTGCTCCAGCTCCCTTTTTGATGGGCCTTTGCTTGGCAAGGTTTTGCTTATGACACCCATCATTGGAACATCTGATTACTTGGTTACCTTGCCACCTGGCAAATTAGCCATATTTTGGGTGGCAAGCCTTACTCTAGGTGGTCAATAAAGGATGGCTTGTGCCTGCTTCAGACCCTGACAGGCATTCACTTTCTTGGCCCAGCTGGATCTCTAGCCCCTGACAAAGTCTATTTCTTAATATGCAGCAGGAAACTTATTTATGATTGTCAAATACCTGCAACAGGGGTTATGGGATAATCTTAAATACAGGGACGGGGAAGGTGGGGAGGAAATCAGTTGCCTTGCTGTATAAAGCCAGGGATTACATTCTCCAATAATTTAAGCAAGTATAGGCATCAGTCCACAGAGGAATAACAACTCTCTAATGCCAAAAAACAGAAGTTGGCCTGCTCAGCAAAAGCATTAAAGGTTGTAAAGGGACTGAACTATTTCACTCATGCTTTGACATCAGCCAAAGGCATAGGAATAGAAAGAATAAGGGAGCTTCTAAGGCCCAGATGCTAACACATGCCTGTCTAAGAGGTCACTCATGAAGCCCACCAGGGGTTAAGTTACAGCCCCCACCCAGGCTTCTGCTCAACTGCTGTTCCCCCTATTGCTCTGACTGCTTGAATTCATTGCTCTGTTAGCTCTGGGCTTCCCCTCCCTCCAGCTGCTGCTTCCAGCCATTGGGGGGAGGGGGGCTGTGCAGCACCGAACACAGAAAGCAAAAGGCAAGTGCAGTAGTGCTGGGGCAGTAGCCTGTGAGCATATGGTTCCCTGGCCTCATCTTCCAGCCCTCACTTGGCCATTGCAATTGGGGAGTGGGGAGAAGACCCGTATCTCCCAGTGCTAGCTCCACACAGGGCCAATGCGGGGAGATCCTCATCTCCCAGCCTAAGCCCTGTGACTTTGGGTCCCATGCTGGGAGATAAGGCTCTCCCAGCACCAGCCCTGCGGGGCACTGGCCCTGGGAGATAAGGGTCTCCCAGCCTGAGCCACATGACCATGGAGCTCAGGCTGGGAGATAAGAATCTCCCAGCACTGGCCCTGCAGTTGCAGAGTTGGTGCTGGAAGCTCCCTGCTGGCAGGAGCTGGGAAGCCTGTTCCCTGCCCGGCTCTGCCAGCATGGAGCAGGGCTAGGAACTACCCTGGTCTGGGGCAGGTCCAAGTTCTGTGGCCCGATAAGGTCGTCAAGGCAGGGGGCTTGGAAAGAGCTGCAGGGGTGGAGTAGGTCCCAGCTAAGACTTATACTACTTAGTCCTTTCTTCTCTGGCTACAAATGAACAAAAAGGTCAAATGCTGGAATTAGTGAGGTGGAGTATAATGCTCCAGGAATACAATATGGAAAATGGTCACATTAAAGGTTGCAAGAGGTAAGTATCAGACATTAAATCCTTAATAGAAATTCAAAACACAAAAGGTAAAGGATCCTGCCTTTGGCTACAAATGGTTTCATTTTATTATAGAGGGAGACAGATTTGTAGTATAACAGAGGACTCTATACTCATTTTGAAGTTGAGTGTTACGAAATGATATAGGATAAGGCACTGAAGCCAGTGGAATATGCTGAATTAAGACCAAAAGACAGAAGCTTAGACTTCTGGACAGGCCTAAGCTGTGCTGGTCAAACAAATATTAGATGCTTTGTAAGGGAGGAAGTGGAGACAATCTTGGTTAGTCCTGGAGAGAAGACTCACAAGACATTGGGGGGGGAGGTTCATAAAAGGGAAACATTTGTTTAATAAACTTAATTTTTATTAAGGAACAGAGGGATCTTTAGATCTGCTTTGCTCTTGGTTGTGGTGTGCAAGGTCACCAAGCTACCAGGAACTGTCCCAACATTTTGCTGAACAAAATGATCCAAATCTTGGGCACGTGAAAAAACACACAGATTCTGTGTGGACAGTCAAAGAAACAATTTGGTTCTCAACCATCACACGTTGGATTTCTTAAACATGTAGTGGATCCTTTATAGCCACCATTACACCTACTTAATTATAACATGCATCCTAATACAGAGCTAGGCTCATCTGATCAGAACCCAAAATGCAACTGATGACAAAGGATCAAATGTGGCAAGCAATTAAGAATCCTATTCTTTCACATTTCTTTTGCTGTATGCATATTTAACTACTGAGAGATTTACCCAGGTTGGCAGGCAAATCTGAGGCCGAAAAAGAATTCTTGGCTTTAAAGGAGGCACGTGTCTAAACTGCTGAACCAGCTCAACTACAGGAGTGTTTATCAATTTCTAGCCACTAAAGCATTGTTAACTGGCTCCATCTTTGAAACAGATCATTCAGATTTTCAATGGTTAGCAAGGAGTCATTTTCTTCTTGCCATCTTTTTAGAGACTGTAGTTTACAACATCTAGGCTATGCAGAATAAAGTATCTGTTTTCACAAACTTTGTTCCTCCTCTGGTAAAATTACTCCTTGATAGAAACAAAACCCTTCATGTTAACTTTGCAAAAGGAACGTGTGGTCAGCTTTTAAATACCTGAACAGATCAAAGCACAATGATAAAAATTTCACAGTGACTGGAGAGTTTTAGGGTGAGACGCACACAGGCATTTCTAACAGCATAAGTAACCAAGGGATATTTTCAAAAGCTTCAGATATATTCCTTATCCAAAACTGAGAAATTTCTTCAAAACAACAAAAATCTATCAAATACATTAAAAAAACCCACCAAGGATTTTCTTCAGAGTGTAACTACATACCCCCAGAATGTTTTAAATTAATGGCTTCCACCTAAAACAGGATTTCAGCAAGTCTTAAAGCACACCTAAATCTACAAGGTCAGCATACTACTGATCTGTATAGGAAATTATCTAAACACTTAGTAGTTTTTTCTCCAATTCGGAGCTGGAAACTAAAATACTAGTTTTACCCTTGCAAACCAAGCTAGTACCAATGAAATAAGTGGAGATGCACAGAAAGAGAACCCTGTTAAATTCTGAATGGACAGAAATAGCCAGTGGTGGAATCACTTGGGTAGCCACTGAAATGCTCTTTCAGACATTAGAAACATGAATTAACCTGCATAGCACAGTGAATCTCAGCCAGGGTGCCAAGGCACCCTGGGGTACCTTGAGATCCTTTCAGGAGTTCAGAAGGTTGTCACACAGTGTTAGCACCGTTAAGTTTACAAATGATCCACAAAATAAACCTAGAGTTTTCAAATGGAAGTCTGTAGTTGTGGTCTTTGAGTTCTTTGCAACAGAAAAAACTATTTGACCAAAGAAAAATAGAGCAAAAGGGGGTGAAAGTGAAGAGCTGGCATTTTCCAAGGGGTGCCTCAAGTTTAGCCAGGGGGGCTGTGTGTCTAAAAAGATTGATAACCACTGGCTTAGCACAACAGGAAGCATGCAGGAATTGAATTAGCTGCAACATACATTCCGGTAAGAGTTCTACAATTAAACCACCAGTCTGTAGATATGTAAGAAAACATTTCCGAAGCCTTTATTTACAAAAGCTTTAAAAACAAATACCCTCTGTTATGCAAATAATTCTTTGTTTTAAAAAGGACCACCCAGTTACATTATTGTAACTCAATGAAAGAAGAATATGTTAAATTACAAGGTCAACAGATCAATCTGGCAAACATTTGGAGATTTGCTAATATTGATTTTAGTGTAGATAACACACACACGCACACACACACTACGGCGTGCATTCCATCATTTCAGGTTAGTATTTAGCTATTCAATAAGTCTTCCTCACAACTGCTCTGTACACATGCTATGCATGGTTAAGAGAAAAGTATTTTACGGTCCTTTAAAACAATATATATAAAATATATTGCTAAGATATACTCAAAAATAAACTAGCATTACACTCCTCAGGTAACTTTATTATCTAAGTTATTTATATTTTGTTGTTTTACAACAAATCTGTACCATCGGTCTTTGTAGCAACTACAAAAGCACAATTTATCTTCCTTGTGATTTAATATTTCAATTCAGAATTGAGTTTTTCAAGGTCTTTGGGTTTTATCTTTTAACTAAATTGACTTGCAAAATTCTCAAATCAAGTACATAATAAATATGACTTTATAAAATAAAAATATATAAAGGTATACATTACTGGAATAAAAGCTAGGAAATGAATCCAGGAAGTGTGCCATTACAGAACTACTGCAGTTCCAATATCCTTAGAGACTTTCAGTGGCAAATACAAAATCAAATATCACACAAGATTTTTCCCTGAAGGGTGTAAAGCTGGTTTTTAAACACTTTGCTGGTTTTCTATCCAATCACAGAGCGGTTTTAAAGCAGCAGGCCAATTAGAAGCGGATGTGCGCAGGATGTACTTGGATGACTGAACACCAGTAACATAACAGCAGTTTAGTAAGATTTCAGTAGTTTGTTTTGCTTGAACAAAGGTTATGCAGTGAATGAGTGGTGTTCTGTGGCTTCAAAAACCAAACATATACAGTGTGAACTTGGAAATTGTGGCAGACTATTGTTTTTCTAGCTGAGGGCAAAATCCCCAAAGCTTCAGATAAAACAGAGGATCTGAGTCAGAGTCACTCTCTAAAGTGCAAATTTGATGGTCCACAATCTTGAATAGCTAAAACTCCTGCATACTGGAAGGGATAGACACAAAATGGGGGAGTTAGTTAATTCAGTGCTTGTTAATTTGGGGAAAAGGGAAAAAACAAAACTAAGACCAACTAGGTAAGTTTACCAGACAATTCATTATGATTTAGTTTTCCCCTTCTCTCTGCCACACTGAACCTATACATGCTTCTTTACAGATGGGCTACAATGGGTACAAAGCCAAGTTTAACCCAGAAAATTCTACATATCAAGATCAAAAGTCTGTCATAGGAACAGTCAGATTTAGTATACAGAAAGGCAGAAAAGAAAGTGTGGTGAGACAGGGGAAAAAGCCTTATTGTCCAAGAGAATCAACAAGAGATAAAACCTATATACAAGCATGTGGAGCTCAAAAAACATGGTCTCCCATTTCATGTCATGACTGTTTGTTGGCTTCTTCTTCATATGCATTTCCCGTGCCGTTTTGTACATACGATGAACCAGAACCAAGGCCATACAAATGGCCACAATATTTGGCATCATCAATGTGATCTTCAAAGAACATCTAAAGAGAAGTCAAAAAAGAGAAATCAATACTGAAAAGTCTGATTTTTCATATATCAAGCCTAAATGAAAATCAAGAGAGACAATTAAGGCAACAACATACAATCATTTTCCTAGCCATCTAAAGGCGAACATATAGTATGCTTCCTTTTTATGAAAAAGATCAAGAGAAGTATAAGCTGGTCTCTCAACATACCTCTTCTGACAAAGCAGTGAACTGCAAACGCTTGAAAATCCTGTTTTACCTCAAGAATTATAGCCCGCTTACTTTTGTTAGTTGCATTCACAAAAGTGTCTTTGCACGTGAGTTTTACATGCCTTCTCCTCAGCAGTCTGCAGGGCCTCTATCATAATGATCTAAAATCTACATGTTGCTCAGTATGGTGTTAGGTACTGAGTGCATCTTGAAATACAGAGCAAGTATGATTAAAGAGTTTTTTTTATCCACCAGCCAAAGTTAAAACTAAGTCTACATTCAGTGCCATTACTCTTCTGTGGCTTGTCCTTGAAGCTAACTGTAGACTGTATTGCAGGTTTTGGGGAAGGCTGGAATATGCATTTCTTTGTCAGCTTATTTTGAAGGAATTTGACTGAAAGTGAGCTGCAAAGTTAAAATGAATATGGAATTAAGAAAATACTAATGTAGCACTTTTACAAGCATTAATTAACAAGGGAACATACCACAGGAGCCAAAAAAACCCTATAGTATTTAAGCACACATTCTATTTCAGAAACTCCCCTTTTCCACACAAATCCCTGGGCACCTATCTAGGTTTCCCAAAGACATTCCAAGATGCACAGCTACGAGACATCACCAAGGTCTGAGAATCCAGTCAGAGACATCAGGGATATCACAGAATGAAGCATTGTAGAATGTCTTTACAGAGCAAATAGTGTCTCTCTCAAAGGGTTTAAGAACAGAAAAGCAGTAGTTAAAGAAGTATGACTGAACTATTCTTTTTCCACCTACTGGATACCCCCCCACCCCAACCCAAGTAACACAAATTTGAACTTAAGGCAGCTCCAATTTCCATCTTTAAAGCAAAGGACTAGCTGTGACAACTTCCAGACAGTACACGAGATATAGACCATCAAATCCTATAAAAGAACAGATGCATCTACAAGGATAGCCAAAAGGTGAGGACATAAGGAAAGGATATGGAATAAGTATCAAGAGAACAGTGCGTAAAAGAAATCAACAACAGGCAACATGGAAAAGAATAGGAAGAGGATGGACACAGGCAGAAGAGTTAAAATGCACCGTCTGAAACCATCCATCCTTTCTCCCCACAAAAATGATTTGTTTAGAGCAGCATTTCCTATGTGCATGATATTGCTGTCCAGAAATTTATGGACAGTATCATTGTCACTGCACAGTAGGAACTTTTATTTAAGGAAATCTCTATAGTTTTACCATCACAACACACAATGTTTTCCAGAGGTCTAAAACTCTGGTGAAGGACAAGTTATAATTTGCAATAAAAACAGAGGTTGCTAAAAGTGAGACCATGCTGAGAATTTTAATAGGTTTTCTCTTCTCCCTTCCCCCAAAAAGCCATGACAAAGTATAATATTACAACTATGAGATATGGCTGTTATTTACTTTTCCCATTGTCTCTATACTGTTTAAGATCATACTTGAAATTTGAAGACATGAATTTAGCAACAATGGGCAGACCTCAGTGGGAAAGCTTGAATATTACCAGCCTATACTCCGCTCAGATCTTATCATAAAAAGAATAGTCCTATCCCGCAATTCTAGTCTGGGCCCTGCAGGCCAATCACAGCTTTAAGCCAAATCACATGGAGACAGTGTAATGTGCAGTAAGGACTGGCTGATGTCACAGAATGTACTACATAAGTTATGTCTCAGTATGGAACAGGCCAACTCAATCCAAGTAATCTTCAAAAATCGGTTGGCTTGACCTGCTAATGAGGAGGATTGCCCCTGTTTGAGAATTAAATAGGACCCAGATTTTCTGGCACGAAGCCAGAGTTGAGATCCACTGACTCGAGAAGTTTCTTAAGCTTCCATTCGAATACGTGTCCCCTTGTTAAAAATGGAGCCTGTTTATGTGCAATTTCTCCCTGGAGCCAACCTGATGATTAAAAAAAAAAACCAAAACAAAGCAAAACAAAAAAAAGCTTACCTGGTTCATATTTGGTAAGTTTGTAAGCTTAAGTTAACCCAGGTACTAGAGACAGACAGGTTTGTTTACCCAAGGAATCACACTAGAGCAAAGGACAAACAGAAATGGAATGCACCATCTCAGACAGCAACTTAAATATTTAACATATTTGCAGTTGGCACGCTGATAAAACCATCCAGTGTAGATGGGCCCATTTTTACACATGGCTTCTGTCAGGCATATTGTACAACACCTGGAGGATGGGTGAGCAGAAGCTCCAAAAGAGAAGCCAGGGACACCTGTCACAGTCAACCAGGAGACTCCTGGAGCAGGTTGCAATCAACAGTAGCTCACTCAAGCAGCTCGCACCCTCCCCACAGTAGCTGCCTTAAAGATGAGAGGCCCACAAATGGCAGAAAGGAGCAACAGGACAGGAGGCAAATAAGTATGTGAAAGCAGAGAAGAGGAGACGGTGGTGGTGGAGCATATTTAATGTGGGGCAGGGGAAGAAGGGGAGCCTACTGACTCTGCTTGAGCAGGCACTGTTTTTAAAACAAACAAACAAACAAACAAACAAACAAACAAACAAACAAACAAACAAACAAACAAACAAACAAACAAACAAACAAACAAACAAACACACTCGTTTGCCCTCTGGAAAAACTGGTAGACGTTCCATTGCCTGAAGAGGTGAAAGGTACTTGTGCATCCTACTAATGCATAATAGCAACTTAGGGCAGACTATTTTTGTCCTAGCAAGTTACAGCAGAACACAATGTGTGCACTTACTTCTCTCATTTTGAAAAAGGCCATTCCTGTGAGTAAAGAATCAGATCCTGCCTGATGCTGTGGTCCTATCCTTTCCAGCTCTAGCTGCTCAGCAACTTCTTGCAGTCCACCCTGAAAAAGGAAACAGCATTACAAAAAGTCAGGTAATTTAACTGGTCAGACAATTTAACTTAGCAGCTATTTCTACGTTTAAAATCAAAGCAGCACAAAACAAACTCAACCCCTTGGCACAACAGTGCAAGCAACAGGACACTTTAAAGCACTAATGACTGGCTTAGAGAAGCGATAGACATCGTCACCCCAGCAACTCAGAATCAAAAAACTGGCATGGCAGTGTTACACTGACAACATCCAGAAGGACTAATGCAGCGGACAAACAGATTCATACATAGAAATGTTTAACTCCAAACTTTTCTTTTGGGTTAGAATTTAAAAGGTGAACAATAATGCTTTAAAAACAAGCAATTTAAGAGTCCAAATCATTAAAAGAACATGTGAGCTTTAATGTGTCTTCAAATAATTGGCTTTCATCTAAAAATACAGATTTTTCTTCACTTACCTGACAGACCCTAAGCTCAGGGTTCTGCACTCCCCTCACAACACTTCAAAGTACCACAAGCATCTAAAGCAGTATCGAGTCCAGGAAAAAGGTATGGTTCAGGAATCAGAGCACCCTGAACCCAAGTGGCACAGTTGGAAAATGAAGGGGGAGGGGGAGCAAGTGTGCAATCTTCAACTTAAACATTTTATTAATGGCCATAAGGGGAGTCAAAATAAGTTACCTTGTAAACAGGTTAAATAAATGTTAAAAGCTATACAAAGGCAGCCTTTGCATAAACAATCATTGCAGTAATTTACTAAACTTGTTATTTAAGATGGTTTTCAAGCCACATGTTGAAAGCTACTAGATGCAAAAAGGATATAATAGCCCACGTGCAGTAAGGATGAATTTTAAAACACTGACTATCCATGCAGCAGGTTGATACAGGGCTTAAACTGAACTGCTCCACGGACTCTTAAACTGTAGCACATGCGTGCGTCACTGGTAACCTGTAGAGCACCCTTCAGTCTTCAAGCATATTTCTTCCCGTTAAGCATAACTCTGTGGAGAACTCTTAGCTTCCAGCAGATTGTGACAACTAAACATACGCCTCATATCTTTGCCAGGTGTATTTTTGGTGGAAATTCAAATGAATTAAAATTTGCAGAGAATGCCAGGACAGATGAGGAAGCAAACCAGCACAAATAAATAAATAAATAAATAAATAAATAAAATGGAAAAAGTCAGTACCAAAAGGCAGTACGACAAAATTTGGAACTCAAAAGCAAAACCTACATCTGGGGAAAGAAAACAAAGAGCAGACATGTACAAAGTAAAAGGTGGGAATCTAACTGAGCAGCTACAACCACTGCCTTCAACTGAGTATTTTTATCTTTACGTCTTCGTTGTGTCCTAATATCACCTTTTCATACAGTTAGGTTCTATAGCAATTGTGGAGAGGGTATGAACTTGGAAGGAGAGGCAAAAATCAGTAAGGATTGTATATTGAGAAACCAGCTACAGCTGGTCCCTCTGAGACAGGGACACTGAAAGATTAGCGACCTCTGGTTATAATTAACACTAAAACAGCTATTGACCAATTCAGCTTTTATTTAAAATGTCACACAAGACAGTGGCTACTACAAGTGCAAGCAATGTTGTCACAAATCAATTCTGCTCTAGACAAATAAGTAGGTTCTTCCTCAAATTGATCTATTGGGGCAGACAATTACAGTGTAATGGATCCATATAACTATATAAGCATGTGCAATAAACTACCCTGAAGAGATATCAGCAACTCTGTATGACAAAAATCAGTTACACTTTTTTTTTTTTTTTTTTTTTTTAAAGAAGTTACCTTCAGGAATAAAGCAAAGGCAGGTAGACTGTATTAAACCATCTCTCTCTCCGCTGGCAACAAAATTACAACTAGGAAGAAGCCTCAAAATGCTTCCCCCGCCCCCATGTTTAGCTTGAGACTGTCAGTTTGACCTCTGTCACTATCTGAATGTGGTATGTCAATTCAGTGTTACTTAGCTTCTCCTCTTCAATAAGCAAATGGGAGCTAAGGGTAGGAAGAGAGAAACTAAAGAGATGTTCTCAGCTTTTCAAAGTGTATGAATGAGAACAACTACACAAACAAGCCTAATTAGAATGTAGTTCCCCTTAAAACTCATGTCCTTTTAAACTAAAAAGGGCCAATTAAAGACAGCAGGCACAAGGTTACTTCCCTCTTCATATACAGTTAACTACATGACTGTCTACCAATTCTAATTTGGCTCAAAGGTCCATTAAAGAAACTTCCTTGAATGTATTCCATTTACAAAAGAAAGGGAGTAGTTACTGACTACAATGTCTGGAATACAGCGAAAGTGAAAATAATCGAGGAACTACTAGTGATGGCACCCTCTTTGATTGTGAATAGTGCCCAAGATTCATCAAGAAAGATCCTTAAAAAACACCCACCTATTTTTAAACTATTGACCAAAACTGTCCATCTCAAAATGACAACAGTTAAAAGCAAGAGAAAACTTCGCATATCCCCAGAGACTAATAATGGGATACAAAGTCTCTCTTTTTGGTCACTCTTTTGGACACCAGATCAAAAAAAAAAAATAGTAACCAGAGGTCTATATAAAGCATTTCACCTGAAAATATTAAATTTCAAGACAGTGCTACAAGTTGCCAGTCATGCCATGTTACTTGGCAAGTCTCACCCTTATAGAAAATTCAGACATGGTCCAATATAGCTATGTTATCTGTACAGGTCTTCATTACCATAATGTCTCAGGGTTTATTTCTATAGGGCCATTTCTCTGGTGTAAGCAAAAAAATTAAAATTTATAGTGCACTAGCTAGTAACCGTCTGTGTGGTCAGCCTCATTGGACTGTAAGTGTCCATGGGAAGGCGCTTAGTACAGAGAAGCTAGCATACTGTAAATTCACACCCTAGCTTACTAATGTCTGCAGAAACATCCTAAGCAGCTGTGTCATTCACATATTGATCCTCAATACCACACAAGATGGGGAAATAATATTTACCCCATATGTTTAAAGGTGTTTGGGTACTCCCCTATTCTAAACCTTTGAGAAGCTGGGATAACGTAATTTACTTGAAGTCATACAGGACATCTCTTGGGGGACCCAAGTTTAATTCCTGGCTTAACAAGTCCTACTCTAATTACTGGGCCTTCCTTCCCCTTTGGGGCAGGATTGGCTGTCTGGCTGCAATGACAAGTATACCATTTCACTTCACACAGAAAGAAATATAGGATAGGGAGTAAGAATTAGTGCTGTTCTGTTCTTCTAATAGTGTTCCGACTAGCCTGCCAGGAGAGAGCTCCATAAAATGGTTACAGCCAGCACTCACACAATCTTATTCCTGTTCCCAAAGCAAACAAAAAAAATGGTTTAAGAAGCATCAAGTTTATAAAGAATTGTGTCTAATAAAATGAACAAGAAGTAGTTGGTTCATGTCAGTAGACAACAACTGCAGAGACATTCAATTCACTGAAGTTTAATAAAGACTTGAAAAGAAAATGCACAGAAGTTAGGCAACTGTGTATACAAAGTAATCAATTTGACTTCTGAAAACTCAGACACTAACTGCTTCACTAGCTTCATTTCAAGCAGTTGTTCTCAGTTTGATACAAATCCACATGACTGGCAGCATTTCATTGCTGTGGAAAGTAATGAGATTCTTTCAGTAATGCCTGAAGGGACAGGGTACTCCATATCTCATCTCTTATCATTACTGGTCCGGTCAAGGTACCCAGAATTTGATCGTAGGAGTCCAAACCCGACTTATTTTTCCAACTTTGAGAAGTGTTCTCCATTCTTAAAGACTGAAAACTCCACCATATTTTTACAAAATGCCACTTTGATCTTCCCAAACAATGCACATCACGTTCTTCAAATGCAAGTGTCATAAGGAACACACTCAACCGTGTAACAATTGACAAGTCTTTTCCCCACCCCCCAAAATCCTTATTATCCTGAAATTTGTTACCCCGGCCCCCCAAGTCCATAAAGTCAAGTACACAGGTAATGGCTGGCAAAAGAAAGAGCCAGTGTTAAAGCAGCACAAGTGTCTTTTCTGCTCATGATGACATTTTATTCATTTGTTTTTTCAAATACTTCTGCAGCTCTGTATCTACTTCATTTGTCCCTTGGCCCCAAGCAGGGGGAGGGAACAGGGGGAAAACTGTAACCGTCTCTAATATTCTTCAATACCCAGCCATCTCCCAGACTGGTGTAGGTTGCCGTCAGAATGCAAACTCCTGACCAACATGAGGGCAGCTTGTTTGTAACTGAAAAAGGATTGGTTTTCCCCATTCTCAGTGTCAGACTGATTAGCAGAGATGGTGGAAATCGTGCTCTTTTCTTCCTAGTCATCACAAGGACAGTGGTTGAAAGTTACATGTCCTATTTAGATATTGACAAAAAAAAAAGTTTAGATCCATCAGCATTGTGTAGACCATTGGCTCAGTATTTTGAAATAAAAAACGTGGCAAATTCTCCCTTATTCAGGATTTGGTTGTACTATAGTCAGTCAAGTGTCCAGGTTTTCATTTGGGCTCTCATTCAGTCAGCCCATGTTCCCGTGTATTGCCTTCCGTGAGTCTGACAGCCTCACATCAGTTGCATACTTTTCATTTCATCACCAAACCAGGCACATGGGCTTCTTTAGCCAGAACAGCTGTAATAAACCAGTGGCATATTTTTACCTCGCTGTCTTTGCCTTCATGCATCCATTCCTATTTCATATTCATTCTCCCAGCCAATAAAATCTTCTCCAAATCTTATGCCTAATAGAACAAGGAAATTAGTAGCCTAACTGGCTTGAAGAAGTGAGTTCCTACACTTTATCTTTTCTAGAAGTCAAGAGTTGCCCCTGAGCCTAGGCTGCTGCTAAGCTTCACCTACAGAACCACCTGATGCTCCCACCACATTCTTCCTTTTCATGAAGCACTTTTGCACTGCCATAGCCATCACTGCATCTTGCTTCTAGCTAGAACAACTGCAGCCCTATAGTAAACTAAGCAGTGAGGAAAGATGCTAAAGCTTCTGGAGATGAAGTTCAGCTCTCACAGTCTGATAAATGAATGGTGAGGGATTACTTCCTAATACAGTTCTATTGTGAACAGCACTGTTTATGGCACTGCCACTAACATGGGATTGGTTTGTTATTTTTAAATAGCAAGAAGCTACAAGACTTGAAGTGGATGCTTCCACCTGCCTCTTACATTCTAGCAGTAACTTTACCATCAAATGATCAAAATTCAGTAAATCAGAACGATGGTTGGAGAGTAATACCATCAAGGCAGAGCTCACTGCAGGACAAGGTAGCAAAAAGTTTATTTTATTTTTGTAGAAAATTGCCCTCCTAGAACACTGGTTTTGAAGCACAAATCAAATGGTTTACCTTTAGATTTTTGCAGCTCTTCATGAGATATTTCACATCGTAGATAACAGGGAAAAACAACCGGAGTATCTCAAAAAAGTCTAGCTCTTCTTCAGGTAAATTGGAGTTTGTGAGGATCTTGATTAGATAGCCGAAGTCATAACCACTGCAAATTAACCACATAAAAATAATTAACAGGTAGATGACTCTACAAAGACTCCCATCTCCAAAATAAAACTGTTTAAGTTTTATATATGTATATAAATATATTAAAAATATATAAAAATAAAATAAGTGGTGTTTTGCAAATAAAGTTATATTTAACTACACAGAAGACAGATTGTTACAGTGCAGTTTCCAGAAGGCATATCTGCACATCATGAGACTACAAAAACAGATGCATCCTACTGGCAGTCTTAGAAGCCAAATGATTGAATGAACCTTGACAACTTGACCCCTCTAGGTTTGGCGGTGACTACACTGCACTGCCCTATCCACCCCATGTAGCTGATGTTTCAGTTGCCAAGTCAGGACCTACTGCAAAGATACATAACTGATAACTGGATCTAGGTGAGGATGGTCCTGCTTTAAGCAGGGGGTTGGACTAGGTGACTTCCTGTGGTCTCTTCCAACCCTACTTTTCTATGGTTCTATACATATATTGCTTTGGCTCCTTGCATAAGCCCTGAGGTTTCTGGAGAGAAGAAAGTAGAGGTTGGAAGTGAAGGATTTCTTCTGTTGTATATAGATTGTGTGCACTGGGGTAAATTTTATCTTCATTAAGGCTGCATATGCCCTCTTCTTTTACCATGGTTCTGACAGCAGTACAAATCACTTCATTTCAGCCTCTACCATCTTGTCATCAGAAGGCCATGAGCATGCACACTGTTTGACTATTCATAGTTACCCATTTACTGTAAATTACGGTCAGGAGAAAGAATACATTATACATATAAAAAAAAAAAGATATAGAGGGGTGCCTTAAACCTAAAAAAAAAGTTAAAGTACCACTGAGTTATAGACCATAAGCTCTTCCATGCAGGGGCTCAGTGCATCTGTGCAGCACACTGGGGTCCAAATCTTATCTAGGACATTTGGGTGTTATTAACAAAGTTTGTGGGACCGTTTGTTTGGTTGACGTTACTCAACTACCTATTCCGCAGATCCTGGAGAGAGTTTCTGCATGCTGGGTGCACATACCTGTGTAAAAATCCCACTAACTTCAAAGGCAATCAGGGCCTGAGTATCCTGGATGCAGTTTATACCTACTGCAAATGGAATTGTGCTTACATATATGATTTAGAACCACCATCTTTTTTAAAATCAGTTTGATTGTATTCATGGTCTTACCATCATACTACTTAAAGGAAGAAAAACTAGTAAATCCTAAGTAGATACCCAAGAATGGATCATTTCCTGAAGTCCACTCTCAGAGGCTACAAGAAAGGTACAGCTGCTTATGCTCCTCCCAAGGGGGTTTCCTGTATGCTACTGTGGATTTCTAGTTAAAGGAGGCAGGCACAGCATCTAAGGTTCCCACTGCTGCAGATGTCCCTTTGAAGCTGTGCTGGCAACACTCCAATCTCCAGCAGCAGTCTGATGCCTTTGCTCCCTGGCTAGTAAATGTAGGAGCTTCAATTGAGACAAACGGGGTAAAACTACAGAGCAGTGAGCCCAATTACTTAACAGTTAAACTTGAGACCATGAAAGCAATTATTTTGCTCACACTTGCAAAAAAAAAAAAAAAAAAAAAA